GGGGGGCAGGAGGGACGGGGAGGTAAATCATTCCTTCATCCTTCCCGCCGACCATACAATCTCATGTTCCTCTGTGTCCGACAGTTGTCAAGAGGATATCTCGCGACGAACCATCACAGGGACCCAGACATCCGCCGGGAGTGCAGAGGAATGAGTCGACAGCTCGGCGAGTGGGACACAAGTCGCACGTGTGTCGCACACGTGTCGCACTTCTGTGCATACACATCACACTCGGGTCGTACACATGTCGCACACGTCGCACATTCACCCCTGGGCATCACCGTGTCTATCCGAAGAGGGCAGGGCTATCATATAATCAATCATACTGTCGCAACACGTGTCGCACACACGTGGCACTCGTGTCGTACACATGTCGCACACATGTTGCACTCGTGACGCACACGTGTCGCACACACGTTGCGCTCGTGTCGGACACATGTCGCACACACGTCACACATTGACTCCTGCGCCCACTACACTCACCTTCGTTATCCGAATAGAAGGTGGGGCCATCATACATATAATCAATCATACTCTTCAAGCCAATCATGGCCCATATGACAGCTGAGAGGTGCAAACATCCTTCCACTACCCTTCTCTCCCGCCCTTCGCGCAAATTTTTACACTTGTCGCCCACACAAAGAGGCCACACAAAGAGGCTAACCTCAAGGAACGTTCCTCGAATCTTCCCTTTTTTGGCATTCCTCCGTGGTCTGCGCGCGCGTTCCGATCCGACACACCACCGATTGATACCCACTTAAGGAACGTTCCTCGAATCTTCTCCCCTTGGCATTCCTCTGATTCAGCTCATTGATTGATTGATTGATTGATTAATTGATTGGCTATCGATCAATCGATGTGTGTCGGCAATGATCGTCTCGAATCTCCCTTTCCCACTCATAATTCATTATCGTCAAAAGCGGCCTTCCAATCAGGTGATGATGTTTAAGGTAACAACCGAAAATGTCGTTCTTTCATCTAATTAACGCGTTGATTGATTGCCAGATCAGCATTCGTGAGATTACTCTCCTTCTGTGCGTGCAGCACCCGCGGCACCACTGCGGTGATGAGTTCAGATGCATCTTCTACGTATATCGTCTGGAGTGAATTTTTTGGCTGTGACAGACCTTTGTTTCGTGGATGTTTTGCTGGCTTGTTGCTTGTGATGGGGTGTGAACCGACAGTCTGTAGAGTTTTCCATCTGGTGTGGGTGAGTGATAGTCTACTTTGATTTTGGTTAAGGTAGATTATCATTTACAGTGTAATCAGTGAGGGGATTCTGCAGACTGTTGAGGGTTCAGCCTCCTGATGAGTAGGTAGGTGAAACTCCGACGAAACAGTTTGTCACAGCCCCTCGTTTGTTGTCCTCTTCTCTCTC